ATAACTAAATGCTACACAGAATCTTTAGACCATTTTAGTTTAAAAGAAGTAGTCGGCCCTGGCCGTTGTGGCTCAGTTGGTTGGAGCACCATCCCATGCACCGAACGGTCTCCAGTTTGATTCCTGGTCAGGACACACACTCAGATTGCAGATTCGATCCCCATTTGGGGTGTAAATGGGAGGCAACCAAACAATGTTTCTCTTTCATCTCTCTCTCTTTCTCTCTCTCTCTCTCTCTCCCTCCCTCCCTCTTTCAAAATAAAAAAAAAATCTTTAAAAGATAAAATAAAATAAAACAAGTAAGTAGTCATGCTCTGAGGAACAAAAACTCTTGCCATAATAAGAGAGATGAAATGTGTGGTGCAGCAGGAAGTGCCATGTCCCAGTCTTCACACATCACAGTGGGAAGCATCCTGCTCCCCCAAAGTCAGGCTCAAGCTGACAAGTTCACCTAGTAGGGCTCTCCTGATGTCCGGAAAGTCAGTATATTCATCCACTTTTCATTAGGCTCAAAACTGAAGCCCTAAATTTATGGTAAAACTGATAAGAGCTTGAACATTCCATTATTTTCATTCTCAAAATGGCCAAGTACATAAGGAAGGAGAAACACCAACAATGATTATCTGCAGCTTGACTTCGTCCCAACTTGATCCCTGACAAAGGGCCCATAGCACTTAGCAGCACTGTAATACCCCTGCTGCAGTCATAATAGTGGTTGCTTAGAAAGTCTTGTGGGGAATGAAGTGTGGGCACAGGTGTGAGACACAGGTATGGACAGCAATGTGTTCTGTCTGAACAGGTGGGATTCATCACCCAGGAAGGGCTGCACATTAATTTCAGGACACTAATAAGGAAACACAACTCCAAATAAATATTCTGGAAAATTATTTCTTAGGAAATGTCATCTGAGTCTTGAATGGGAAAAGGGGAATACTAGTACTTTAGCTAAAGGAGGGAGCTATTTCAGGGTCATGTCATGTGTATTTTTTTTAACCATCACTTGGAAAATTATAAAGCATCAACATTAAAAAAAGTATCAGGATTTTATCCACATAAACTCTTGGCCCTTATTTTTTGGTGAGAAGAAAGGGGCCAATATGAAGTACCTAATCAACTTAGTTCACCATATGCTTAGTATTCCCACTCCTCCTATATTGATTTGCAGTTATTTTATAATTGTGAATTATATGTTATCTTCTTCAATATCTTGCTTTTTCTAAGTAAAATGTTATATAAGTTGAAAAATTCACCACTGTATCTGGATTTGTGAATAATTTCAAAAACAGCCCAAGTGCCATCAGCAGATGAGGGGATAAAAAAGCAGTGGTACATTTACATAGTGGAATACTATGTGGCTGTAAAAAATAAAGAACTCTTACCATTTGCAACAGCATGGATGGACCTGGAGAGTATTATGCTAATTGAAATAAGCCAGTCAGAGAAAGACAAGTATCACATAATTTCACTTATATGTGGAAACTAATAGGAAAATAAACTGTTGAACAAAATACATCCAGAGACTTAGAAGCATGAAATAAGATTGACAAATTTCAGAGGGAAGGCAGGGGTGAGGCGATGGATGGAAAGGGAGTGATTAACGGGGGAACTTGACATGGATATATACATAGCACATAGACATAGACAATAGAGTGGTGAAGGCCTGGGAGGGGCAGGTGCTGGGTAGAGGGGGTCAATGGGGGGCAAAAACAAACAAACAAACAAACAAATGGGACACCTTTAATGCTTTTAACAATAAAGATAAATAAAAAACTAAAACAAAACTTAACTTAAAAAATGTGTTCTGTATTTTCTGTTCTCTGTAAACAAATGAACGTCAAACCTAGAGAGTAGTCAAGAAGCAACTCAGCGGAGAAACCAAGATGGCGGCATAGGTAAACACCGGAAATTGCTGCCTCGAATAACGACTTCAAAACTACAACTAAAAGACAAAATGGACATCATCCAGAACCACAGGAAGGCTGGCTGAGTGGAAATTCTACAACTAGAAGGAAAGAGAAAAGCACACTGAGACTCAGAGGAGGTGAGGAAGTAAAGTGCAGAGGTACGGAGGTGTGCGGAAAGGGCTGGCAACTGAGGACTCGGTTGTCTTTTTCAATCAGGAGGGAGACACAAGCTTCCGACTGCTCTGAACTCCAGTTCTGGATGAGTCTCTGGGGACCCAGACTCATATGGGGAGAAACTGGACTGTCTGGCATCGGGCGGAACTCGAGGGTGGCTTTCTCTCAGAGGTGCTTGCAGCGATTACCACGGGACACTGAGACCCAGGGCCTCTTAGGGCAGAGCTGAGGATCAGCCACAGCTGTTTGCTCCACCCTGTTGATTCCCTGTGACTCCTCCCCACCCAAGCTGTGCGCAGAGGCTTTTGCATATGAATGGCCTGGCCCTTTCCAATCTAAAATTACCTAACAAACTGCAGCTGGGTCAGAGAGACCCAGAACATCCAAAAGAAGGCCCAACCCCCCACAGCAGCTTGCACTGCTTCACAGCTGGGCCTCATCTGGGTACCTCCAAACCCCAAACAAAGAAGAGGAATCTGCAGATCTCTCCGTAGCTCCTGCTGGGTAGCCTCAGGCAGAGGCTAAATTAGCACCTCCTTAGAGACCCAAGAGTCAGTGTACCCAGTAGTCAGAGTGGGACCATCCAGATTACAACTCCTCAGATCCATAAGGGTCACACTCAGGGGGCAGACTCAGTGAGCACCAAAACCCTATTGAAGCAAGTCTTGCCCCATAAGGGTGTCTCCAGCACAGAAGTTCTCCCACCGTAGACACAGCTGATTCTCACAGCCAATTGGCCTGGAGGTCAATTCCTCCTAGTGATACCTACAACAATCAAGGCTTAACTACAACAAGACTGTGCACAAAGCCCACAAAGGGGTGCACCAAGAGTGTCCACCTCAGGTAATTGGGGAGGCTGAGCCACTGGGCCCTATAGGACACGTAACACAGAAAGCCACTCTATCAACACAGGGAAGCAGCCAAAATGCAGAGACAAAGAAACAGGTCACAAATGACAGAAATGGAGGAAAGCAAACTACTGGATATAGAGTTCAAAACCACAGTTATAAGGTTTTTCAAGAATTTTCTAGAAATCACCGATAAATTTAGTGAGACCCTCGATAAATCTAGTGAGACCCTTGAGGATATGGAAAAGGACCAACTAGAAATTAAGCATACCCTGACTGAAAGAAAGAATAATATACAGAGATCCAATAGCAGACTAGAGGATCACAAGAATCAAGTCAAAGATTTGTAATACAAAGAAGCAAAAAACACCCAAACTGAAAAGCAAAAAGAAAAAAGAATCCAAAAATATGGAGATAGTGTAAGGAGCCTCTGGGACAACTTCAAGTGTACCAACATCTGAATTATGGGGGTGCCAGAAGAAGAGAGAGAGCAGGATACTGAAAACCTATTTGAAGAAATAATGACAGAAAACTTCCCCTACCTGGTAAAAGAAATAGACTTACAAGTCCAGGAAGCACAGAGAACCCCAAACAAAAGGAATCCAAAGAGGACCACACCAAGACACACCATAATTAAAATGCCAAGAGCAAAAGACAAAGAGAGAATCTTAAAAGCAGCAAGAGAAAAACAGTTAGTTACCTACAAGGGAGTACCCATACGATTGTCAGCTGATTTCTCAACAGAAACTATGCAGGCCAGAAGGGAGTGGCAAGAAATATTCAAAGTGACGAGTAGCAAGAACCTACAACCAAATTACTTTACCCAGCAAAGCTATCATTCAGAATTGAAGGTCAGAGAAAGAGCTTCACAGATAAGAAAAAGCTAAAGGAGTTCATCACCACCAAACCAGTATTATATGAAATGCTGAAAGGTATTCTTTAAGAAGAGGAAGAAGAAGAAAAAGGTAAAGATAAAAATTATGAACAACAAATACATATCTATCAACAAGTGAATCTAAAAATCAAGTGAATAAAAAAATCTGATGAACAGAATAAACTGGTAAATATAATATAATCAGGGGCATAGAAAGGGAGTGGACTGACAATTCTTGGGGGGAAAGGGGTGTGGGGGTGCGGGAAGAGACTGGAAAAAATCGTATACCTATGGATGAGGACAGTGGGGGGTGGGGGGTAAGGGCAGGGGGGGGTGGGAACCGGGTGGAGGGGAGCTATGGGGGAAAAAGAGGAACAACTGTAATAAACTGAACAATAAAGATTTAATTAAAAAAAAGAAGCAACTCAGCATCTCTCATTATCCTCTCAACAGGTTCCGAAATAAAGCGGAAGAAATCCCATTCAAATTTGTTTGATTTGAAGTTTCCAAACAACCATATATTGCTGCCTTACATACCCAGCTTAACAAGCTATACAAATGGAAGGTGCTCTTTAGCTATTCACACACTCGCACTTTCTCTGACAGGCAGCAAGGTATAAGAGATGAGGACGCTGAGCAGTTAGGGGAACCAGAGTTTAACTAGAGAGTTTCTATTTTAAGACTCTCCTCTGACCTGAAGAACTAATGACTCAGCTATGTCTTGTTCTTGTAATAAAAAAAATGAAAAATTACACATACCTATTAGAAACCAGATCATATGGTTGGTGATACTATCTAAAGACAAGACAGATATTTAAAAAATCTTCAGTGAATCTACAGTATAGATTCCAGCTCAATGTCTTTGTGATTACTCACTAATTGTAGGAACGTTGGAGAAGGTTCTAGCTAAGACCTGAGCTCTTCTCTAGTCTGTAAAGTAGAATGTTTATCTTAGAGAGGGATATGACACTGAACACATCGTTTTTCTCAGCAGCAAACCATAGAGAATACAGACAAGATGTGGTGGGGACACACCATCTCCCCAAAACACTCCAAGGCATTCACTGTACCACACTTGAGAATGAGTGTTGCACTGCACATATAGAAATTAAACTCATAAGGAAAAACATCACTTGTGCAAAAGTCTGGGAATTCATAAGTTGAAAATGGGCTGGGGCGAGGGGGAGTGGTTGAGCTTACCTCTTATCACTTATTTGTATTCTAGTCCAGTACAGAGGCTTCATGGGACAACTGGGCTCAATGGCTGGCTTCCGAGGACATTGGCTAGAAGAAGGGCCGACTCCAAAGAAGAGGCCAGGAGGAGGTGGGGGCACAAGTCCCTGGGAGTGCTGGAGCAGGAGGAGGCCCCCCCACTGCTGGGCAGAAGGGGTGAGCTAGGAAGTGGTGGTGGGGGAGGAGGCAGGGGAGGTCCAGTGCTTGGAGGCAGAGGAGGTGGCGGAGGTGGTGGTGGCCCTGCACTCACAGGTGGTGGCAGAGGTGCTGGTGGCAAAGGTCCAAGCCCAGGTGGTAGGGGTGGAGGGGGAGGGATGACTGCTGGTGGGGGTGGTGCTGGGGGGAGAGGCGATGCCTTCTCCTGGCTCGGTGAGATGCATTCCACAGACTGAAGTGGTGCAAGGATGTCTTTGTTGTCATTTGGGGGGGAGAGTTGGCTTAAAGAGGAGATGTTCAGCTTTTTGGGTATTATTTGGTTACTTCTGGTTGTCTTGCCTTCCCCTTCGCAGGGTTTGAGGAAAGTCTCTCTGTCTGTCTGGATGCACACATTTCTGTAGGTCTTGGGAGGGCAGTCGTCGTTGGTGGAGATACACACATCTCTCATCTCTTCAGATCCTCCGCGCCATCGGTGCTCTATCTCATGTTTGAGGTTTTCGATGGTTTCTTCTAGTCTTGCTGTTATCACTGCATGCTCACCCCGGATGTGAAAGGCCTGAAGTTCAAACTGAACCTGGAGAGATAGCAGTAGGAAAGAAAGGAAAGCGTTTATAAAAACAAATATCAGAAATTAAAAAAAACGCAACACCTTCCCCATGCCACCCGAGCACAGCTCACAGAAACGCAGGACAATACACAGACGTCCTTTTGAGAATCCGATGGGGTGTAAATTTCACTTTATGAATTTTCCAAGGACTTAAACAGTTGGAGTAGAGGCAGAATTTCATCCAGTATGAACTCATGGGGAATAATTATCATGGATTAAGGCTTAAAGTAAAACTGTCATCTAAGAACTTTCACCCGGTTTTAATATCAAATGCAAGACAAAATTTTTAATAAAGGTCTGAACATGCATGACTACATCTTTTATTACTTTTGGATTTGGTTTGGAAAAAGAACATTTTAAGAAAATGTTTTGGAGATCCTTGGAGCTGCTGCTCTCACAGTCTTCCTCAGAATGTCTGTTCTATGGGGTTTCCTGGTCAACACAGCAGAAACAAAAGGTGAAAGAAGAAGCTATGATCTATGTGTATTTTCTTAAAAAGTTTCCACAACAAAGCTGCTCATGATAAGTATTTGTATCTTTCATAATCATTCACAATATAGTAATAAGCAATATAAATGCATAGAAAATGAGAATATAACAATTTGCTATGTTTTTCCTACATACCCAGCATTTTAAACTATACTTTATGACAGTCTTTTTAATACTTTTATATTTTCAGTTATTTCAATGCCTTAAGTCTATGGTTTTATACGTGTTAGCACAGACCTGGCATACTCTCAGTATTAACTAGTCTATTTCCAGTTAGCCTATTACAGTTAACTGGGAAGCAGTCAAATTTATAATTTTATTAGAGTTTCAAAAATCTAGTTAAGAGTAATTAAATATTCCCAGTGAATTTATTTAATTTCTGCCTACCCATTTGATTGTAAACTCCACAAGATGAAATCAGAGACAGTGCCTTAATTTCTGTATCCCAGCAGCCTGCACAGCACGTACGTAGTACTGAAGAGATGGATAAAAACCACTGCCACAGTTATATTCAGCCACTGTCCAAAGAGCCTTCCTGTGTCTAACAAAACTGTCCTCACTCTAATTTAAGCCCCCAAATATCTACAACACCAAAGTGTATACAAGGATAGATTCATTTTGCATCGAAAAGGTAAAGAAATACTTTTAACTGCCTAGTCAGAAAAGATTAAAAGACATAGGAAGATTTTCTACTTTCATTAAGACACTTCTAACTGTATTTTTGCTAGGTTCACCTTCCCCCCATGAGTCAACTCCCTCACAACTATGGTCAGTAAAATTAGAGACAAGGCTTTTCTGAAGCTGACTTTGTCATATGTGGATGTGGCAGCCCCTGATCCAACTCAAAGAATTACCCAGTTCGGGGCACCATGTATTTCTTGTCTAACACAGAGAAGTCAGTACCTGAGTTCTGGATTCATGCGACCTGGTTCACGTCTGCTTAGCCACTGGCTAGCTCTATGTTCTTGGGCAGGTAACTTTGTGTTTTCAAGCTGGAACTTCCTCAAATGTAAAGTGAGGGAAATAGTGAACCACCTCTAGGGTTTTTATAAACATAAAAGGAGATACTTCCTATAAAGCAACAGGCATTATACCTGAAACTTAGTAAGTTCTGAATAAATGGTAATGTTAGCTACTGTTGCTCATGTCAATATTACAGTAAGAGACGAACAGACCTCTAATTCTTTGAAATGTCCAAATCATACCACCTTTGTGGAGTGATGGGCAGCAAATGAGGAAACGCTTCGTCAGGATAAACAATGTCCTACAAATACAATCATTTAGCCGATCTTTCATGAGTTCCACTACCAAATGCCTGGAAGTAATTTCAAGCTTCACTCAACTATGTGATCAAGATAATCTTTGTTTCAACATCTTATGCCATCTTTCTCTCCGTCTCCTTCCCCTGCCCACCTCCACCCAGAGCCCAAGACTGATTCCCATCCTGAATTACTTGCCACCATTTCATTTTAGTGAATAGTTCAGTTCGGCCACAACAAACTAACTCTTGGTTGTTATTCCCAACTAACCTTTTTCCCAAGGAGGTTCAGTGCCAAATAATATTGATGGGCCAATAACTTTACTCAATCTTCAACTTCTTAATAATATGAAAACTTGTAAGGACATGCTCACAGAGAAACTTTCCCTTTATCTCACAGCTAGCCTGTAACTATACCAAAGGCCCTGGTCCCCACCTCTCTAGCTTTCCATCCAACCAACCATCTTTTGAATCCACTGAAGCTGAGGTATACAGCTAAATACAGTTTTTGTGGTCCTGTAATGCATTTGCTCAATGTAGAGGGCAGAGTACAAATTGCACAGATTATTTTAGCTCTCTGTACCTCAGTTTTCTCATAAATAAAATGGGGATGATAACAGAATTCACCTCATAAGGCAGTTATGAGAAGCGGATGAGTTAATATGTGTAAAACAACACATAGAGGAGTTGGAACATAGTAGATGCTATGTTATCATTATTGCTATCTCCTTGCTACGGGACAGATAAAAGGACAGTGGCCATATCAACTTGCTTTTGACTCTTGGCAAGCTCCTCAGCTCTGTGTTCTATCCATATAAAGCAAAAGTAAAGAGACCTAAATCCTTCTTTACCCTTCTAGATGTCACCCTTTCTTTCTCACTCTACCCCTTCCTAGTCACAGCAGAGTTTTTTTTGTTAAATATAGCATAGAACTCTTGCTTTATCTATTTTCTCATCCGTCTTCCTTTCAACCAATTACAGTTGGCTTCTGTGCCCACTGTCTTATTGAAACCGCATGATTTTAGTGTTACAATTGGTCAGTACTTTTTAAAAATATATATATTTTATTGATTTTTTACAGAGAGGAAGGGAGAGGGATAGAGAGTTAGAAACATCAATGAGAGAGAAACATCGATCAGCTGCCTCCTGCATACTCCCTACTGGGGATGTGCCTGCAACCAAGGTACATGCCCTTGACAGGAATGGAACCTGGGACCCTTCAGTCCACAGGCCGACACTCTATCCACTGAACCAAACCAGTTAGAGCTTGGCCAGCACTTTTTAAGTCCTCTAGTCCTTTGGACTGCATTGTTAAAGTTGACCGTTGCCCATGCCTTGAAATTCTCTGTTTCCCTAAACTTCCAATATACCCTCTCGACCCACCCCCATTTTCCTCCCACTGCTGGGCTCTCTCCAGTCAATCTGTGGACTCCTTTTCCTCCATTCATCTCTTTCATGCTGTTCATCAGGCATCCTCCTTGCCATTTTATCTTTCTCAAATGATACAATCCTCAGGGTCATCTTTTGTACTCACAAAAAATGACACTCACTATAAACTGTAACTTCCAAATTGTTACCTTCAAACTGTAATTCCAGCTATCCTCTTGTCTGGTCTACCTGCATACTTAACCAGCCATCTCAGACTCAATATATCTGCAAACGAAGTCGTCATTGCTAAACCTCAAGTTATCCCCCCTCTGAAATCCTTCCTTGCAGTTAATAGCACCCTTGTCCTCCCAATCATCACATCCAGAAGCCTGGATGCCATGCTGAGTTCCTTGTTCTCTCCCATTCCCAACGTGTTATCAATTAGTTACTTTAATTTCTCTGATTCATCCCTTTCCTCCCATTCTCAACTTTTCTTTACCTGGACAATAGCAAGAGCCACCTAATTCATTTTAATTCATTTTTCCCATCCAAGTTTGGCTACATTGGTTCTAGAAGGATGAAAAAAAAAAGGCCGATCTTTATTTCTTAAAACACTTTCAATAATTGGCTATTACTCTCAGACTGACACTGAAAACCCTTTAGCATGAACACACAAAACTCTTCCCATCCGTTTTCTACCAACTTTCTCCACTTTGGCACCTGCCCCTTTCCCAGATGTGTCCTGGACTCCAATGTTACATATCATCTTGCCTCTCCAGGGACCACGCTCTTTCATGCATCTGAGCCTTTGCAAATGGTGCCCTCTCTCAGTACCCCTCTGCTGCAAACACCCAAGGCAAGCGGACAGATTACCAAGCACAGATCCCACGAATGGCTTCCTTACAAACTGTAGTCACTGAGAGGAAGAATTACCAAATAAAGAGGAAATACTGAATTTCCATGTACTCCATATCAATATGCTGAGATTATAGTAAGAAACCCTTCTGACCATTAAAATTTAAATGGCCCACATAAAGAAACAACTTACCTTTGCCCTTCCCTGTTTCACAACCCCTTTGATCATTGGATTTTGTCTTGGTTGTGTTCAGAAGCTCAGCATGACACAGTAATTCAAAGTGATTAAAGTAATAAGCACCTCATTCATTCTGTATCTGTCCATATCCTATCAATTATTGCAAATTGTGCCTGGCTCTGCTATAAATGAAGAATCTCAAGTCCATGCACACCATGAGCCGAGCCTTTGGGAAAGCTAGTTTTTAACCCCATTTTTCACTCTACTTCCTGTGAAGTGCCACTTCTACTTTGCACATGGAAACCATGTGCTGTTTCCTATCTTGTGTCTAGAGCCATAGCTAGAAGGACTGTTAATGATTTGTGAATCAAACACAGAGTAGAACTTTCTGGTGGATAAGCATGGACTGCTGGATAATGTTTGCCTGGGATCCCGGGAATCTTTATGAAATGTCAAGCCCAGGTTCTTACAGCCAAAATTGTAGCTAAGGCTGGGTCAAGGGAACATAATGCTTTAAAACCCTGCCAACTCTCTTTTCAGTGTCCTCTACTTTCATATAGAACATGGGGTTTGTACACAGAAGACAAAAGAAACCTTCCATTCACTTTCAGATAAATGCTCCTTGGGACATATAAAGCATTATGGGTTTCCCTCTCCCTGATCCTCTCTGCTAAAAATCTGTTTTTCTGCATTCATCTCAATATATAAGTTGAAAGGACATAGGTGCTGAGGTTTCACATTTTTCCAGTTTTCCCCAAGTTTTATCTACCAGACTTCATTCAGTCTATCTTCCTTCTTTTACTCTTAACTTGATTGCTT